TCAGCAGCCACACTCAGGTCATGTGGTACTGGGGACCAAGCTCAGGGCTTTCCCCCCTAATTAGCACAGGGCTACCCCATATATCCCCATCATGGCCCAGAAACAAGGCACACAGAGAGGAGCCCAGGCTTGAGGGGAGCTGGGCAGCAACTGTAGGGCACAGAATCCAGGGCAGGGGTGGGAGTGTGGCCCGCCCTCTCATCCCACGCACCTACGCACCTACGTCTACTATCAGGAGAGTCTCCTGACACATCTCCTCAGGTCCAGTTTTCTCGGTGTCAAATGACTTCCATTTAACTGGTTTCTTAGTGAAGCCATTGCCAAACTGAAGCAAGATCCCCTCCTGACATATGACAGCATCTGTGGAGAGGAAAATCACCAGGGTTTGTGAGAGTCTGGGAGCCGCCATGCTTCTGAGCTAAGCGCAGCTTTCACAGTCCCAGTCAGCTCCCTGTGCCCTGGCTGTGACATCCCTTTGACTCAGAAGTCCAAGCCTCCAAGCCTGCAGCTCTGTTCACCCTGTTGCTCCCTGAACACCTGCTCCTCTCAGAGCCTCGCGAGGAAGGCTTGCTCCTCCACTGTAGGCTCCTCTTCAGCCGTTCTCTACTCCCCATCTAGTTTTGAGTCCCGATAAATAGAATAATGAGGAAGATGGCCTGGATTCATCCCTTTCTGCCTGTGTGTCTGTGTTGGTGCTCTCAGGAGTGTGTGTGCGCACATGTGTGTGCTCAGAGGTCAGTGCTGGGCGTTTTCATGCCCTCTTTGGTACAGGGTCTCTCACTGAAAGTAGAGCTCACTCATTTGGCCAGCGGTCTTCTCCAGCCCTAGGGATTGCAGACCCCTTAGAATCAGAGTTATCACCCAGCCTAATTATCCCTTTGGACTGAGAAGCTCTAGATTCCAAAGAAATCACTATGTTGACCTCCAGTGAGCACTGGGCCCTGCTTGGTGCCTGGGAACAGAAATGGTTCTCCACAGATGAGCCTACTGCGGTCCCATTTTTGTGTGGTTCAGGCTGGCCTGGCACTGGCTGTCCTCTAGCCTCTGTCTTGGGACTGCAGAGCCAGCTCCTACCTTCACTGCAGCCTGCATGTGTCATTTTCCCCCACAGCAAGGGGGCGCATTCTCAAGGTAGGGAAGCTGAGGCAGGAAGTGCTGAGGGGTTTGCCCAATGTCACCCAGGCAGTAGGTGGCAGAGCTGGACTTCAGAGTTTAGGCTTTCTGTCTCCTTAGGGTCAGGGCTGAAGACAGCAGTCTAGTTGGACGACCTTGAACTTGACCTTCCCTAAGGACCTCACGTGATCACCACAGACTCTCACGTGCCCCATGATGCACAGATTCCTGGAGGGGGACTGAGTGTCCACAAGCACTCTCACCCTCCTTGACGGCCCCCAGTTGGTGGCTGGCCATGTCCTCATTTCCCAGGTGACAAATGTGCGGCTCCAGCTGCCCTGCTCCTGCAGACAAATCTGCACGCGCTCTGCCCCCACCCCCACTCCCCCCCACCTTCTCAAAGGTGGCTCCTCTCCCTCTGGAGGCCATGGGTCAGAGTCACCCCAATTCTTATCCATGTTTGCTCTCCAGCCCAAGTTGCATTCTCCAGCAGCAGGGCTTATGCCACACAGTAATTGCAGAACCTGAGCACTGTGGCCACCACTAATGCTTCCACCCAGCTGCAAGATGCCGGGGCCTTTGCCTGCCTTGTCATGGGTCTCTCTGAGCCCCCTTTCCTTTCTCCCCAGCCTTATTTACAACGTAGCATTGGGGTCTTCTTAAAGGATAAGATAATTCTGTCAGGCCTCAGGGAAACACCAAGAAGCTTTGAGTAGACAGAAAATTCCAGTAGGTCCCCACTTCTTAAAGGGCTATGGAGACGGCTTAGGGGTTAAGAGCACTTGATGCTCTTTGAAATACTGCATTTAAACCC